CATGAAAGTAGATCCCAAATATTCCACCTGCTGCAGGGGTCGGAGAACATATAGATACACAGTAAAGACACGCACAAATATTTCTGTCTTTTTGGAAAGAGCCACATGTGGACTCTGAGACCAAAAGCTATCGGTGATTGATAGTTTAGAGCTTGTCAAGTATTAATTTATTTGAGATACATTTGACTTTTAAACTAAACTAATCACTCAATATCAATTCCAAGACTTTAAATATAAAGTAATGCAAACATCTCCGTTGAAAATAGAATAAAGTTTGCTTAAAAGTTGTCACCATTAATTTAGGGCGACACCAGAACTATAGTCTCACTTCTTAATTTGTCACTGTTTCAAAATATATTGAGGGCAGTATTTGAAAAATAAAGCCTGTGTTCATGTGATGGATATTATTCATATCAAACTAAAAATGTCAAGTAAAGACATGACTGACTGTTTCTAGGATACAACAAGTGTAAAAGTAGAAGCATCCCCTCAAGTGATTTGTACTGTTTGTAAGCAAATAAGTTCACAGATTCTACATCCAATACAATTCACTGTTATATGTCAGAGTATAAAAGTAAAACCCTCTCACTGAGACATCTGTATGACAGCTAAGAGAGAAACCTTGTTATTTGTGTTTTTTAGAGGAAGGTTTTCCATGCTTTGACAGCACCGGTAGGCTGAAAACCACCAGAGCTATATTTAGTCGGCTATTGTGTGTCTGCCTGCAGCGTCACGCATACTTATGATGCAACCAGCTGGAGTGCATGGCCGACCGCCATGTGACCACAGTGTCTCGAGTTAGTGTCTGGAGTTAATGTCCTCAAATTAATGTCTCGAGTCCAGTCTGATAAAACAGATCCGTCTTATAATCCCTTTGCACACCTCCGGCTGTGTGCAATCTCGTGTCACTATTGTGTCTGTGCAATAATGTTTTTAAACTCTTATCTCAGTAATAAGTGTGTGAGAGGTGAACTTTGAGTCCCAGATAACAGAGCACATGGTTTCATGTTCAGAGTTCACGTTTCACCGCCATGACACTCACAGGGAGGGTCTGTTGACACCTTGTGACCATAATATTTCTCTCATATCAAAGTGATTTCAGCCTTGATGTGGTTTTGTTGGGTCATGTTCGTGAACTGAACATTTTATATTCTTGGAAAATGATTTCTGGGAATTTGGAATTATAAAAGTGTCCCGTTCAGACTGTAACATTCTGTAGGGCACGAACCAGAACCGTGAAGCATGTGCTGCATACTTTCCCCTTATTACCCGGAAGACACACAATATTCCCTATTCAGTTTAAAATAACTTTCTAAGAGTATGCCCACAGAGATGCTGTCAAATTATTGACATTGCTAATTTAGCAAACAAACAAATGTTATGTAAAGAATTGTTCATTGTTTTAATATCTGAATTTGTTTATATCATATTGTTTATAAGGGATTATGTATTGTTATAATACCTTACTAGTAACGAAGGGTCACCTCAGATTGCCCGAATGACCCCTAAGCAGAGCAACAAAGGACTGTCAGGTCACACAAAGAACATTGAGACCCTCATGACTGCCTGTCAGTCTGAGTCAACCTGAAATATATTTAGAGGCAATAAAAAGATCAGAAGTCAAGGTTAAGTTTAAGAGGTATAGCATGAATAAAAAAGCTTTTTTTAGTTCATTCATTTATTTTTTTACAAACAGTAAATGGCACATTTTCATAAATAACACTTTTTTAATGAAACTATCTCTCTTTTAAATATATCTTTTTTTATCTGTAACAATGTATATTTTCCATTTGGTAAAAGTATCTTTGAAACATAATGGCGAGTGACTTTAAAACTGACAGAAACAAATGAGACAGAAGGAAATAAACAAGCATGCCACCTGCATATCAAACTCTGGGAAACCTGAAGACTGTAACACATGTTTGCATCAGTAACATCTAGAGTACTGGAGGTCTGAGAAGAACAACAGCATTGCACATTATTTTCCAATTAACGGCCATTGAACCAAACAATACCCATTCCACTCATATCAATAAACAAAACATGTGTGCACATCTGTGCAAGCACCTTTCTCAAAAATATATACACAAGTATTTACACTTAGAAACTATATTTCATGCCTTGTCGGAAGATGCTTGAGTAATTTTTCATTTATAAAGTTGAATTCATGCTTTGAATTAAGCTCCACTTGACATGCAGGGAGAAGATGCCTTTTTTGATTTAGCTTGTTATGCTTTGGAGTAAATTCGTTTTAAGTTAGAAGGAAGCATGTCATGGAAAATAATAGTTTGAGAAATGATTGTCTTGTATCTAATGAATCCAGTCAGGAGATTTAAAAACATTGGTATGGGCGTGCTCCCATGTTATGAGTGAATGTCCCCCATTGGTTCTTCCTTTTAAAGCTCTGTAATAAAAATAAACACAATTTCATTATTTTGCTTCTTCCATAACCCAACAGTCTCAAAGACATCTATTGACATTTATGTATCTCTTAATAAAACATTTCCTATACAATCCTTGTTGTGGCAGTGTGTCAGTAAGCATGCACTACATCTAAACTAAATCAGTCTTGACATGTTGCCTATATATTTTTCCTCTGCTTCCTCCCCTGGTATTTAGTTTGGAGATGGTGTCCATTCCTGAGATATCAGCCAGTCCCATGTCTGATAGCTGCTTTGATATATGGAAAGGCTGTGTGGACAGTCTGCAGGACAGCACAGCAGGGGGTGGGGGGGGTTCTAAAATAACCCCCAACACCCAGCCTAACCCACCCAGAACCTGCTGCGACAGGTATTTCCCCCAATTTCAGGACAGGCAGTGCGCTGAAGATCAATTTGCCGGACCTGTTGTACAAGCCATTAAAAATAGGATTGATTGGTTGTGTGCATGCTTAAAGAGATCAGCAGCTGTGCTTTACGTAACACGGGTACGAAGGGGAATATGATGTTAGAGGATCACCTAACACTTCTTGGATTCACTAGAAGTCTCAATTTATAGAACTAAAGATGACTTGGCAGAAGAATTATCTGCACTTGATGATCAACATTAATTAAACAGCATTATTATTCTGGTCTAGTGCTCTCGGAGAAGGACATGGATGTTTATTTTATTATTACAAATGGTCATTTATGTGAAAGCAATACCGTTTAGCATTTTCAAAACATGAAGGGGATCCTTGCGCAAGAAACATGTGCATGCTTCAGCTTCCTCCTGGAGCTAGCCATCTATTTTCTGTTTGCACACACAACACTGCAAACAATCCAGATAACTCAAAGAAACAGTCAAAAATGCCCTTTTTTACCAACATGACCAACAGTGCAAAATCACAAATAATGTAATTGACAATGCTGTTCGACTAAAAAAACGTAAATCTTGTTTTATACGTGACTGAAAAATTAAATAAGCTGTTCATCTTTTGAAGAGAGGGTTTTAGTAATCTAATAATTTCTGCTGGTGGGCTCTCTTGACTCGGTACGATCTGACAGCCGAACCTTAAGACCTTTATTCAGTGAACCAAAACTCCACACAGCTTTTCTGTGATTTACTATATCATGTCTCTTATAGGCTCATAAGCATGCGTGTGTGCGAGAACATTTCCCAGAGATTAGTTACAGCGGGCTGACATTACAAACCAGCCTGGCTGGAGCAGGTTGGAAAGGCAGTTACAGTATGTCAACGAGCGCTTACCTTAATGTCAGATGTCACGGCCAACCTCGGCTATCATTGACTTTGGCCTGGAAATAACAGATTAAAGCAAAGCCATGAGTACCTTTATATATATTTCGGTGATCCAGCCCATATTAGGTTGCTTTTCTGTTGCCAATCTGTGTTTCGAGGAAGTGAATAAACACAGTTTGATTTTGTAGGCTTATACATCGTATTTTCGCATGATGGTAGCTTTCTCATTCTAGGACCTTATCTTACTAAAATAAAGTTGCAATTTATGTAGGTGACATGATACATACAATAATAAATGAACACAGAAGTAAAACATGTTCACTTTATCAGTTTCCATATGGCACTGCACTGCACAGTATGTACTGCGAGATGAGGTCACCTTTCTTTACCTAGTGTTGGTTTTGTCGGCTGCTGCTCTTGCTCAAGTCTGTAAGTAAGACAGGCAATTATTAGTGATACTACTTATATACAGGAAAAATAAGAAATGCATCCAAACTCTTTTTAACAGAATCACGTGACAATGTAATACTCACCTTTCACTTTGTGATCGTAACTTCTCATCATCATACCTTTGAGAAATCAGAATAGAAATGTCAACATGCTAAGAAGCTAAAATTCCATAGCAGTGTGCTTTTGAAAATCACAAGTTGACTTTGTTTAGCTTTGCACTGTATTGCAAAGCCTCCGATTAAACTAAAGTTAACACACCTATAGTTTGTTTAAAAACAACAATATGAGTTTTTACTCAAATCCTGTCGACACCTGATGTTTGCAACATAACATGTGTACTGTACTAAGTCAGCATTTACTCTGCAATATCTTATCTACCAATTTACCATCCAAGAACAATAACATAAATGCATTACACAAACTAAATATGAGTGAATTCAATACAGCTTTGCTCAGATGTAGGTCCATCACTGTTCTGTGAGCAGTAGGTATTATTACTGAAAGCATGCAGACACAACACAACCCGTGGCAGCCATGTTTAGTGTGTCAGCAGTGACCCTTGCTGGCTCAGAGTACTCACTGCAGCACACACTCAGGGATCTGCACGTGCTCCATGGGGATGATCTGACTGAGCTCCTCCAGGGTGTGAACGTAGCGGATTTTATCCATGAACTTCACGCTGCAGAAATAAAATCAACAACATGCAATAACTGTCACAATGATCCAATCTCAATATTTACTTGTGTCAATGCCATCCGAGGCGAGTAAGCATAGCTCTTACTCTTTTAGTTCTATAATTGTTTGAATTGAAAAACAAATGGATTATGTCATGACTCTAATTTATCTTCTTTGTGTTTCTTTCTTTTGTTTAGAAAAGAGCCGATATATAACTCAGAGGAAAGATGGATGGACTACCAAACACAGAGACTGTGTCCTCACCTGATGAAAGGTCTGGAGATGGCCAGGACGGTCCGGATGAACCACGTTGGGTGAGCGATGATGAGACATTTCAGATTCTTTCTCAGTCTGAAAGAGAAATTCACATTTTTATGAAGCTTTCCCAAAATGATCCCTTATCAATCTCTTAATCAAGCTGCGTCACCGTACATTTGTGAAGAACATTTATAAAACAATGCCTTCACGGTGAATAAAGAATCCAAACATTTAGAAATGTTTATAAATTGAAGTATATGGGAGCGGCGTTTAACAACAGCAAACTATATTCAAAAGTCCGTTTTCAATAACTAATAATTCTCACTTATCCAGTCGTATGCTTTATGTGGAAGTGCTTTAAAAAGCAAGGATTCAGTTTTTTTTAAATATAGTTTTGTTTTCTTACTTCCTATCAATCATCTGGTAGCATCTCTTCAGCCAGCTGATGCCGGGCATCTTCCTGCGAGGAGTTGCTCCGTTCAGGTAAATGATCATGTAATCTTCTGCCACCAGCAGCTCCAGGCTGCTCACGACGTACCTGAGGGCAGAGCAAACCACTCAGATCTGACTCAAACTGTGCATTAACGTCTGGAATTGAAAAAACTTTACCTGAAATAAGTCCAATTTTCACAAAGTAGCATTTTCTTTTAAGCCAAAACAAGTCTTCATCTTTCATTTCTAGCTTCTGATCTTTATAACGATCTTAAATATTTGCATATTCCCTAGAAAAATGTTCTCCAGTCCTATCCTTTGATCAACTATACAGTAACAAAGAGAATAAAGTAAAAGAGCGATGCTTTCAAAAGGCTCAGAACACAGTATGCTAATGAGGAAGTCCCCTACGAGACCAGAATGGATCTTACAGGAAGAGATTCTCCATGATGTACGTGTAGTCCTCACAGCCGCTGTCAGGAAGGTTGCAGGCTGCAAACACGATGATGGCATTCAGACCCTCTCCATAATATCCTGAGAGGATAGATAGACGTTCGTTATCATGGCTGGTGTATTGGCAGAGTATGACATTATCATGGAGGTCTTTAAACAATACAAAAACAAGGGTGCCAAATATGTCCTTTTAGTATTGTTCTTTCAAAACCAATAGCACACACATTCAAACAAACACTCAGATATTATTAAAATAATTCAAGCACTCTGTATTTAACTCACCTCCATGTGTGACCACCCTCAGGTACGGTCTGATGACCTGCATGTCAATCCGCTGCTCCTGATCACCGATGATCACTGTTCGCCACAGACGGCCAGATGAGTCTCTCTCCTCCTCACTTTCCCCTGGAAGACGCTTTGCAGTGGCCACAGGAGTGTCATCTGGACACAAGGTGAAGACAAAGGTTTGATTGTTTAACCTTACTTCGCCAGCATGCATCCCTTGACCTTCACAAATATGTTTTGCTTCCTCAATAGTGATCATGTTAAGTTGTCAATTTTCTATAATTCCTGTCCGACCTTCCCACTCCAGCTCGTTGCCGTTGTTGATGAACTCGAGCGAGTCCGTCTCATCAGGAGTCTCCATGTCGTCTACGTTGATGTCCAGGTCGTCGGGTGTTTCCAGAAATTCATCAGAGAGCACGGAGCCCTCGCTCTGATCCAGGGACAGGTTCATGTCGGGGGCGGCCAGCGTGCGGCGCTTACGCTGAGCCATGGTCTCGCCCACATTTAGAGTGGTGGGATGATCTGGACAGACGGGCCATGAAAGTTTAGACACAGTACATCTTTAACAAAATATATATATGTTTAGTGAATGATGTGTATTTACTCCACTTACTGGTTCTGTTGTCAGTGAGGCCATCTCCATCCTCTGGGAGTGGCCTGCAGGGAAAGGTATGAACAATCAACAAAAATACAATGACATGGAAACACTATAAATACAAATAAAATGACATATTTATGAAATATATTTGAGCTTTGGCCTTTTGTTTTTCTCTTATGTAGTAAACAACTGTCCTGATGTTTTTTTTTAATTGCTAGTTATACAGTAAGCATCAACATTTAACAGTTACATTACATTACTTGCTACATGTTTAATAAAAACCTAAAATGATTTATAAAGCATGAGAAATCTTTCCTAGCAATTCCTCCCGCTTCTCTTTTGTTTTTGGAGTGGCGCTATTGTTCATTAACAATGGTGTGTACGGGAATCAATGTGTTGTGCGAGAAAGCAACATCTGTAATTACCAACTCCCCCTTCGACATTATAATAAGATAGCTGGGGCACAAGAGGGCTAGATTACGGTAGATAGCCCTCGTACACACACCGACACACACACAGACACACAGAGAGAGAAAGACACAGACATTAACACAGACATGCATGCAACGCCCTAAAACAGCACAAGTACAGGCGAGTTGATGGAGCTTTTGGCATAATTGCTGTTATTAAGTTGTCGCTGTGTGTTGTAGCTCTGTAGAGGTACGTTTACGGCATCAACAGACATTCAGGAGTGGATAAGACAGTGGGAAGTAGAACAGTTTGCATTGGAAAAAAGCCCTTTAAGATCGTTGTAAAATGTTGCTCTTACGTTTAAACTGTCTACAACACATGTATTGTTATACACACTCATTATTGCTCTTCTCATTTCTAATGACATCATTACTATCGTACTGTATAAGCTTTCACAAGCTGAGCTACCAGGATACCATTGTTATATTATTCTATTTGTGTAATACTAAGACAACTTCTTACAGAAACCTATCAAATAAAGACCGAATCATCTGATAAACTATGTACAAATATGCTTGTGAATACACTGGATGTCCTTTCCCCTACTTCTATTTCATAACCACATTTCCTCAGCTGTAGAAATGGGGCTTACCAGTTAAACAGTGCTTGCTTGGCTTTTTTTCCATTGTTGGACACTGTGACGTGTTTAATTTGTCCTTTTTTCCCCTCTGTGCTAGTTTAAATTCTGGTCACCATTGTTTGACGCATCATAATCACATAACAGATAACGGTTACATCAAGGAAAGAACACACCTGGTGCCTTTCACCATTAAACACACGCCAGTAACTCTGCATCATAGCTGGGCCTGTTTGTCAAAGCCTGTGCACAAATCAGACAAACTGCTCCTACACACACACACACACACACACACACACACACACACACACACACACACACACACACACACACACACACACACACACACACACACACACACACACACACACACACACACACACACACACACACACACACACACACACACACACACACACACACCTGGGGAAGTCTTCATCCTGCCACTCGTCCTTGACCTCCATGCTGTCCATGCGTAGAGTGGCTTCTGCTGTACCCATCCTCTGCAAAGGAGGACGGGCTTCAGCTCACTGTGGTTGAAAAACAAATGAAACAGACTTATTCAGTAGGAAACCAAGAGTTAAAGAATGTTGCTGTGTTAAAGGGGAACTCCACCCATTTTACGCAACCCTGATGATTTAAGCAGGATTATGAATTTTGGTTTGAGAATTATAATTGAGACTAGCTTGCGACAGACAGACAGAGTTACAAACTGAAGGTGTGGAGATGGAAAGACCTGGATGTTGACCATGCAGGGAGGGTTGAATGAAAGAAACTATATAATTGTATTGTGGGCATAATTGAGTTTTTTTTTGGTTCAAAGCAATACACTACAATACAAAAAAATACACTAGGCCAGTCCTATTCACAATACCAGTGTACTGTAGCTTTTAGGAGCTATCATCAAGTAGTCTAGACTGCAGCTAGAAAACATAACATGGGTGTACAAAATCCAACCTTACAAAACCACAAACGTTATCCTTTCCTAACAAGCATGATACATAGCAATTGCGAGATCCAAAAAAGCAAGAGACTTCAAACACTGTTGCTATCTCTCATGGGTAAATATTGTACGATAATGCCATTGTAATACAACATTGGCTAAAATAAGTCCCAGTGGGTTTCCTTTCCCAACATCACGGGGGAATGGAGACCAAAATAAAACACCACATTGCTCAAACAGCACCTCAGGGAGATACTGTACAAGCGAATCATACAAGTTGGTAGTCATCTCAACTTCCATATTTTACATAACCAAAGCAGACAAGCCTCCTTCCAGTGCTACATGTCCATTTCTTGGTATGTGAAGTAAAGCTTTACTGTTTGTTTCTGATTTCACAGGATGTCATACAAGGATCAGTCATGAGTAAACATCAGGTGTCAGAATGTGCCAATGGGGGAGGACTGTTCTTCCTACATAAAAGTCCCGGTCAGAGTTCATGCTGCAGCAGACGTTAACACAGTCCATTTGCCCATTGGGATGGCACTGATGTGCTATAGTGAGACACATCACAGCCTATACTGGAAAGAGTGGACTAAAAGGCTCAGGCCCTCAGGCTACATGCTGCTGGAGCTGCTGTGTTGTCACTGGATTATCTAAACAACAGAGGTGTTTACACTGACTGTACTATCCCATAACAAGTTGCAGTGTTTGATATGAGCTTGATAGGGAAATCCTTGAAAGCCCCTTTTATTAAGATCCTTTTGGTTAAATCTCACTTTCAACTGACTTCCTCTGTTCTCACACAACAACAAAAAAGCTGTCTGAGATGATTAGTTTCCCTGCTAAATAAAGACTGAAAGAGGGGTGTGAGCTGAGAAGTGCACATTTCACACGGAAACAGCAGGTCAGTGTGTGTGGTGTGTTGTCCACGCAGATGTCTCTCGTAAAGGCTCAGCTGCTCATACAGTGAACTGCTGATTGATGGACACACAGTAATGGTGCAGTAGCACGTGTTTGTTAGGGATTTGAGTCCAGATGGCAGGGCAGCCTAAACAATAACTTGTTCAGCTTTTCACTGCGTTGTGCCTATCCAAACAAACTCACACACTCAAGATAAAGAAGCTGTACTTAGTCAATATTTTTCTATCTTACTTTGACATACAGTAAGAGCAATGTAAGTGAAGCAGTAGAGCTTTCACTTGAATAGAATATATCGTTATTACTTCCTCCTCTGCATTCTGATAACATTTACATGGCCTACTGTTTGGAGATAGGCATCAGTAGAGCCACTGATAAAAGGAAAGTTCAGTTCTTTCCCAACTTGTTTGATTACAAATTAGAGACAAGAGGATCCCTGAATATTTAGCTTAAAATGAAATCAAATAAGAATGTCTTTAATACACTTAAAATGTAGGACCCAATCAGCCAAAATCAAAGATAAAACATATTTAGATATCATTTAACAAGAATTTGAACTCCTGACAATAGAGTTGATCTTCTTCATCAGGACCGAACGGCATTGGTTTGAGCAGATTAAATCCTGATTGGTACACAAAAAATTACGAGGCCACCTTTTTCCAAATGAATGGTGTCACAGACAAACATATATTAGGTAAATATAAAAACTGTTGTGAAATAAAATAAATCTGTTAAGATTAGGCTGGTATCAAGATAAAGAAGCTGATTGAGAATTTACTTTTATAGGGCCATCAAGTTCTTGTGGGAGGAGAAAAGCTTTTCTGTCACGACTGTGATCCATTTCATATCTGAAACACCATCTCAGTAATTTGACTCAAAAACAGTAGCAGAAAAAATACATTAAATGTCACTGAGTGAAAATCAATCATCAGGTTAAAGTCAGGGTACTCACATACTGTGATAAGGATAACTTCCTCTTTGCCGTTAGGAGAGGCTGATCTGTTTTCGGAATCTCCTCTTTATTTCCTTCCTCCTCCTTAAATCTGCCTGAGCAGAATGAGGGTCATCATTGTTTACATCTGCATGTGGGACACTCGTGCTCAGGATCTGGGCTGCAGGACGTTTCTTGCTGTTCACCGATGCCTTTGATGGAGGCTGAGAGAGAAGTCGTATCCTCCTGTAGGGAGAACGGTTTACAGAATGGGATCATCACACAGCAAACACCGTGTTTTCATCTCTTTTCAGTCAGAATCCATGCTGCTTTTCGGACTAAAGATAATCCTCGTCCTTCGCTTTCAGCCCTTCTGACGATGATCACTCTCTATTCCTCTTCCTCGCATTCATTTCTGATAGTCTCTGCTGAATCCCCCTCCTCCTTCTACCAACACTAATGCCCCCTCCCAAGGCTCTAATCCTGATGTGATGCTGTCACCCGTATGTGTTGTGGTGGTTATGTAATCACACCTGCCTACCTTCTCTTGGATTCTCCCGGGGCTGCTGGGAGTCCGGATCAGCTGTTTTCCTTCTCCTCACGTTCAGTACATTTTGCATCCATGATGTAACATGTTTCTATCCTCCTGCGAGCTGGTAACGATGGACGTTTCTACTTCACTGCTGTTCCCTGGCAACACCATCTTCCTCCTTCACACACACGCAGTTTCTCTCTCTTGCTTTTTCTCCCCATCACTTTTAAGCTCTCTCGCTCTTGATAAACCCCTCCTCCACATACATTCCCCTCCTTCTCTGTTGCTCTCTGCTGTAACGCTTACATCCCTCCCTCTCCCTTCACAGCTGCACTCAGCTCTGGGCCATGTCAGTTACACAGAGGGATCACTCTCTGGCATTGCACTCATCCCCCTCTGGGGGCAGACAGTTTCCTATTCTTCTCCCGCCATTGTCTGCTTAGCAGAAATAAAATGCATTTTGGGTTTGTTGCAGTTTTCTATTAATAACGCTACTTTGCACACTGAAATAACGCAACATGACCAGACTTGTGACTAAACACATTTATTTCCCTACAGAGCCAGTACTGTTGGGAGATGCTGAAAATACAGCATTGGGTGGTTAAAACCAAAACCACATTGCTTAAAGAACTCAATTGAATATATAATTTGTCATGGTTTTTTAAAATAAAAGCTTACTTAGCTTTAAATTGTGGCTTATCTTGTCTTTGGTACTTTACTATTTGAAGATCTTTCAAATCTTTTTAACAAGTCAATGAGGGGAACTACTGTACACTCCCGTAGCTTTTTGCAAAAAATAATATGCTTTAGTTGCAGGACAATTCTATGTTGTGTGTTTTTCATAAAGGGCTGTACCATAAAGTAATATTGAATATGTATTTATATTCAGTGCCCATGTGAAACTGGGTCACTAATAATTATATGTGTCCTGCGTGTGGACAGTCCTGCCACCAGATGGTGGTAGAGTGTTCCCCTTGAAAGACACCTCAAGAAAGGAATAGTGAGCTGGACTACTCATTTGTGTAAGATAAAAAAGTTGGACTGACCTCTTGATGAAGTCCCAAAGGCAGGGGTAAGAGCCTGGAGTAGAACAAGTGTAAACCTGAAGGAATTCTTATGTTTGACCATGAAATAGTTGAGGGGAAAGGTGAGGAGGCTGTGGATTAGGAGGTTTTTACCAGGATGAAGCCAAAAATCACAGAGGAGCCCAATTGACCTGTGTCAACAGTTCCTAGCACTGGTACTGTGTCATTTAAAGGTTTACCAGGAAAAAAAAATCACTGAGTAGATATTTTAACATCAAGTTGTAACAATACGTTTGTGTAATTTACATAGAAAAAGTTGTCGAGTTTCATTGGAAGAATATAATACACACAGTATTATAAATAAAGAACTACAGTCTGCAAGGCCTCTGCATCACCACTAGAGGACACTGAGGAGGTAATGGAGGATTTCCTTGGTTTGAACAGCACAGCTAATTCTCCTGGTCTGAGGGTTAGGATTAGGGTTAGGGTTAGGGTAATGTTGTGAATCGAGTGGCCCATGGTGGTGGTGGGGTTATGGTATGGGCAGGCGTATGTTATGGACGATGAGCACAGGCCACTCGATTCACAACATACCTAAACCCTAACCCTTAATCCTAACACCAGATACTCGACTGGTTTACGGACCCCCCCAGACCCAANCTCACCGCTGGGTCACCAGACCCTCCCTTCACCCACACACTGACCTCCTTCTCCCCTCTCTCTCCAAGTGAGGTTCTTACCCTCATTACCTCTGCCCGTCCTACGACGGGCAGAGGTAATGAGGGTAAGAACCTCACTTGGAGAGAGAGGGGAGAAGGAGGTCAGTGTGTGGGTGAAGGGAGGGTCTGGTGACCCAGCGGTGAGTAAGGGTGAGTCAGAAAACGAAGAGCGAATATCATCAACCTTTTTTTCATGCTACTGTACTTTATACTCTGCCACATTAAGGATTGTCATTTGTACTCTATTTAGCTTTTTTGATTAACTGTTTTACTATTTACAGACTTACACATCAACTAATTAAATATAATTATCAATTGTTTTAATAATTACAGTGTAAGATACCAAGCAATATATACATGACATAAACATCTCCCGATATGTATATAATTGTATATTAGAACCTTCACTAAGTATATGTTGACGCTAATACCTATTTAGCTTTACTTAAGTATGCTTTTAAATTCAGGACCTTTAATTCTAACAGTGTTTTCACATTTGTAAACTTTGGTATTAATACTTTAACTAAAGTAAAATATCCAAATAGTCCTTGCACTGACTCTGTCGAGCTCAGGCACTAATAAAAGTACTATTTCGTATTAAAATGTATGTACTTTCCTTTTGGAAAAATAGTTGTGCATTTTGTTGAACTTTTAGTAAAGTTGCTTGGATGAATATGGATTTATACCAAAACAAATTAATATAGCTGGAAACCAAACTACAGAATTCTAGACACTTAACATGAATCCAGGAAGGATGAGCTCAACAATAAAAAGCGTTTTGTTTTCTGCACCATGGCTCTCAGGATGATACTGGATGATCGATTGCTCCTCAGCAGGATGGAGACACGCAGAGGCATCCTGCCGCCTCGTGGCGGAGGAGAAGTCCTGCACGAGGCCATGAAGCCAGTGCAGCCTCTCTATAGGTTGTCACACAAATAACATTTATACAAAATAAAAATAAAACCTACCATCTCATGACTACGTACTGTGTGTGTATAAACTGAGAGCTTGTGGCACTTATTTAAATTATTTAAGTACTCTAATAGATAATTAAATTCATACCAAATAAGTTTTTCTCTTTCGTATTGAAGTGAAGAGTATAGGGATGTTTAAGTGAAATCAAATGATCATAAGCTTCCATTTTCCTCTACTGGGCGGACTGGTTCCTGCCAATATCCAGGTTGAACGTTAACATTGAGATGACTTCAGTTAACACCATAGGTTAACACCTGTACGTCAAGTTTACTGAGCAAACGTCCTTGTGTAAGTATTGTGTAACAGAACGAAGCCACGGAGAGGCATGGGTTAAATCTTCTTGCTAGAAAGTTTGACTTTGCGTAAGAAACTGGGATTCGATAAGTGAGCAGGAGAAAGTCTCCAGCCCTCCTCTGCTCTCCCCCTGAGGACTGATATGGTGTTCTGTGTCAGAGCTGCACTCCTGCTTTTCATCCACTTTCCACAAAGCAACATATGCGCATGCAATTCACACCACTGTCTTATTTATCACTAACTTACAGGAGTGACTTGTTTTTTCTAGTTTAATTGCAATGGCACAATGGTCACTCTTATTGTTATACTTTTTCCATGGACAACTTCCCCTCATGTTTGGGCAGCAGCAGCAGCAGCAGCAGCGCACAGTTGGCCCCTGGCGGAACCGGATCCAGTGGGAGAACAACGGGCAAGTTTATAGTTTAATGAGCACCGGCTCAGAGTACCATGCTCCGGTTCGGTCCAGAAGCCAGTCGAGGGTTTATGTGAGTGGCAGAAGGGATGGCACCTGGAGCCAAATGCCGGGAGCCCATAGAAGAGCCACTCCGATCAGAACCAGACAGGCTGAGTCCAGACAGGTGAGGACTGATCAGCGCCCTCCCGGAGCTGCAGGTTATGTGGCCACGCGGCGCTCAATCCCTGTACACCCCAATACCGTCAACGCCTCTGCACCGGGAAGGTTTAGAGACCTACCCGTGAGGAGAAGTCGTATGGATGCTCTGTACACCAGAGGAGGAGATCCGGGCCCCGGTGCGCAATACCAGCCTTTACGCGCGGTGCCAGAGGCGATGGCTGTCTCCAGGCAACACTCGCAGACCGATCAATCCATCTCAGCACATCCAACCAGTCTGGAGAGGGTACCTGAAGCCCCTGCTCCTTCCCTTCAGGCTGCTTCTAACGAGGCAAATGCTAACGGAGAGAACATGGCTAACGAAGAGAACATGGCTAACGACGACCCTCGAAACCCATTAAAGAACCACAGAAATTCGGTTTTCTACAACCCATATCCCACCAGGGGGAGGTCATCGGCCCGCAACCGCCGTCCGCCTGTCACAGGTTATGGTACAGGATATTTCCAAAATGGTAAGTTAAGTATCATAATCATGGAACATGTAAAGCCTTCTTATTTGCATGGATTCAAATTATCATGGCCAAATCTTACGTTTGAATCATCAGGTGTTATTTTAAATCAATTTCTCACTCAAGTAAAGGAAACAACTAAATTACAAGAAGGGATAACATCTTATTGGGGCTTTGAATCCTGGTCTGGCAGCTCAGCGATATTAAACACTTATAATTAACAAATACTAACAGCTGCTCTTACTTTCAGCCTGGACTCTATTTCAATTAATTATTCTAAGCAAGAAACACACACCATATGGGAGATAGTAAGCCTGTATACTGTGTAAACTGTCCAAAAGGTGCAAACACAGCATTAGGCAGCATATTCATCAGTCTTTTAATGTGCATTATAATAATTTGCATACATTGCCAAACAATAGCCTGAATGTAGCATAGCATTATCATTCTGAACTGTATATAATCATTGTATTTACATTTTTCTAACCTTTTATCTTTCTTTCTTATGGCCCAAGTCAAGTCCTGAGTACATTTGGTGAATAAAGTGACTCTAACCATAAAGCTCTCAGAATTACAAAACCCTTTAACCGTCTCCTCAGGACTGCCAGACCTCGTGCCAGACCCATATGCCATCCAGGCCGGTGCTTATATCCAGCGCATGCAGATGTTTGCACTCCGCTGTGCAGCCGAGGAGAATTGTCTAGCCAGGTGAACTATTGTGCCAAAATGATTCACTACACCAGAATGTATACACTGAAGCAGACACAAACACCTATACACTCAACACATTGGCATTTCCTTTGTTTTGGCTGCCCATTGAACCTTAATTTGACTTGTTTAAGTAAAAACGTTGGTTGTTTAAGAATAACTTTCTATTACGTCTGTATCACTTTTCAATGTTGCATGACAACTGTATTGTTGAAGGCTGATTATGGAGCAGTGATTGTCCAACATGATGTCCTGCCAATATATTAATGTTCTGGACTGGTTTTCCCAAAAGCATTAGGCACAATGGCAAAATAAAACGTTTGCACTCTGACAGCAAGCCATTAGCACTTATGCCTGTTTCTCCTGTGATCCATCCAAGGTCGGCTTATGGACCCGACGTAAGAGACATCGACTTCAGAGTCCTGCTGCGGTTCCCCCAGAAAGTGATCAACCAAGGCACCACGGACTTCCTTCCTGTCAAGCCCAGATATCAGTGGGACTGGCACAGCTGTCACCAGTGAGTTTACCTAGAATGAGAGTGATTGACCATGGTAAAAAAACTACACCCTCAGATCGGTCTAATGTGTTTTGTTCTACCCCTTCAGACACTACCACAGCATGGACGCCTTCAGTAACTACGACCTGCTGGACGTCGTCACTGAACGTAACGTGGCCGAGGGACACAAAGCCAGCTTTTGTCTGGAGGACACGGGCTGTGAACCTGGATTCAGGCGGCGCTACGCCTGTACATCTCACACGCAGGTAACATACAATTATTCAGTACAGTGTCAGTGTGTGACGTAAATGCTGTATTATCTTCAATAATAAGGAATTAGAAACCCTCACTGCCATCTCTAGATATATGCAAAGTTTAAGGTTTAAAATGCATGGTTATGTGGTTCAAAGTACGGGAAGGCAGTTCCCCCAAGTAAAGTATCCTGTCCTCAATACTAAATCTCATAAAAACTGGACATTTAAGTCACTTGCCAGCCTATAACAAACATTACAGGGAGAATGTTAATAACACAGATTCACCGTATGGGAAATGTTTGATTTTTTTTGTTAAAATAAACGGGTAGTAATGAGTACCTGAGTAGTTATCTCATGATCTGAATATAGTTTGTTTGTACCAATTTATAGGGTAAGCTTGAGTTAGCCAATCCTGAAGTCTTGAAAAAAATATTTCATCCTGAAAATCCACTCTCTTCAAATGAAACCACTTGAGTAGTTTTTTCTGGCTTTTCACACTTTCTCCAGAGACACACAGCAGGTGTTTTACAACTGTTTCCACTGTGTCATTTTAATTTGATTTACTAAGTCAAACACAACCTAGTGTCTCACTAATGCTCAGAGTTGCACAGTATCCTGTCTAGGAGTTTTTGCCAAATACTGCAGATCCACTGCTGAGAAATGTTTTAAAGTAGAACTTCAGTGAACGTCATTAAAATAGAATGAAAACATCCTGAGGACCTGGGAATACTTATTTCATCTGTTGTCTGGGCTCTGTGATTCTGGCTCAGCGCTGGTTTCTTGTAACAGCTTCTCTTCCAAAGAACTGTTTGTATAACTTAAGCTCAAATGTGCCTCATTTGCAGCACTTGTAGGAAAAATCTTGTCAAATTTGTCTCAAGAGCCACGAGTTGCCAATGAGTGTGTTTCGGTTGTGTTGCAGGGCTTAAGCCCGGGATGCCATGACGTCTACGCTGCCAACATCGACTGCCAGTGGATCGACATCACTGATGTGCCTCCAGGGAACTACATCTTAAAGGTAACACATGTCACATGTCATCTGCAAAAGAAAAACGTTATTTATGGATTTTTCTCAAAACCACAAAGTGTTTCTTACTAAGAAACCTGCAGAGCTGCTCAAACTGTTTCTGTTTCTGATTATTTTCAGGTTACTGTGAACCCCAATTCCAGCGTCCAGGAGTCAGACTTCACCAACAACATAGTGAGATGTGATATCACATACACAGGAATCTATGTTCAGACACGCAACTGCCGAGTATCAAGGTACCGCACCACTGTTTCTGTTTAATATGAACGCTGCATGTGATTCTCTCTCTATCCAGATAAACTTAGAATAAAAATATAAAATAGCAAAACATTCGGAGATGCTGAATGAAGCCTTGTGTGTTTACAATTTGGATTTGTGTATTTAAATGTTTCTTTTTCTTCTCTTTTTCAGGAGTTGAAATCCTCCTTTTCAAGTACTATCTGCAGGGTTTTAACAGCAAACATCTCTCCCTGTACTGTACAGCATCGTTAACTCTATGACTAACAAAAAGTGCAATTGGTGCTCGAGTATTATTGTAACTGCTATAGTCTTGTGTTGCATTGAATGGAAATGAATGCAACGTTTACACATATTTTGTACATTAAACTAGTCAGATCAGATTTACTGTGCTACAAATGTGCCTTAAAACATGACCAAAATATTTGTATTCTCTGGCCTAAAGTACTGTGTTCATATACATGTATTTCTGGATTGCTGGTTTATTGCTTGAAATGTGTTTTGTTGACACTTTGTCTTGTTTGTTTTCTTGCTTCGTACTGTTAGTGTACATCAGTATTTTTCACAGTTAATTTAAAGCATAAGATACTCTGTTTTTTGTTATTGTCAACCCTCAATGTGTAACTTCTTTACGAGTCTGTGGCTCTTAGCCCTAACTCCATTGGTTACCACTGAAGTCACAAAAAATAGTTATTTCTAAACATATCGGCTTGAGAGTATTTAGCAAATATTACTAAAATATGAGCAATTTTCTAAATTATTTAGGGACTTTATTCAACAGCTAGTGAGTATAGTAGCAGGACAGTGTGTGTTAGTGCTGTAGGATCCATTCACTGGCTGTTTTGATTAGTTGACAATAGGACAAATTCAGAATATCACTTATTCGTGGTCAGATTAGAAAATGGCAAATTTCAAATTTTATATTGAAAAGTAAGGGTAGTGAAGTATGTTTTATAAATGTGTACTGTTGCTGTTGAGTGAATGAAACATTTGAAAATTGTTATGTAAAACTGTTAATATTGCTAAAGCCTTGTTGGTTGTAATATGTTGGCATGCTGGAATTATTGCAATAAAGAGGAAAAGGAGAGAGGGAGTTGTTATTATAGAAAACAAATATATTTTTGAATGATAACCACAGGCTTCTTCTTTTGAAAATGCCCAAATATCTAAGGCATATTCTAGTCATTTCAAACATTTTTAAATCAAGAATCCTCAGTGGAAAAAAGGTATCAGAGTGCTGTGCAGGACTGGATCCGTATTTGGTCTTTGTCCTGTTGAAAAGAAGCGCTTCACTCTGAGAGATGGCAGCAGACGCTGGCGGCATGTTTGCTGACAGTCCACTGTGAAGACACAGGCCGCAGGATCTTATACTGCCGTGCCATATCTACTACAACTCAGCCAGAGCACCATGAATGGAGGCCTTTTCTCACTATCTCTTCCTTTGTGCATGTACAGTAGAGAGAAGTGTCTCTCCTGGCTGCTGTGAAAAAAACTCCTTTCTGGCCCAGAGAGCATTGCATTAAGCTTAATTCACGTCCTTGGGGATTGCCTAAGAAGACAGTCGTTTACAAGAGCACTGAATATTTTGTCTGAGTGGGAGGATTGACACAACCCGCCAAAGAATATCTCCATTCCAAGATGTTTTTACCAAGGACAAATGTGTTTTTGCAGCAAGCACTAGACTGTTTCAAACAGCAAAAGAAAGACGGGTAGAAAATCAACCCTGCGTAGATTGACTCTGGAGTTTGCAGTACTTCACCTGACTCAAAGATGTGTTTATCTCCAACAAATCACTCTTTTTATATATATATTGAAGGTCTTGAATGATGTACTGGAAAACATACAGGCTCCAGACAATGTATACTCTGTTTAATGCACAGATGTTGGGTATTTACAGCTAAACAGAACACTGAGTCTCAGCTTAAAGAAGCAGCAAACCGGGAAGATTAAGCCCAATTGAAATGGTTTACATTTGAAGTCAAAGAGGTGCTTCCCTGCCAGAGTAGATTGTCTGTGTTATTGAAAGTGTCTGGAAAATCCCCCCATCTCCCATTCAGTCAACTCCATTCTTGCCTGTCTGGGAATTTTCCCAATTTACAGACAGTAACTATTTTGGCAAAAGGTCGCAGTAGGAAAAGCTTACATTTAAAGGTCTGATCTAAAAATTCTATACACACAAAGTTACAAAGTACAACTGAAGCTGAAAGAAAAATACAGATTTGACTCACTTTTCACTCTCTTAACAAAGTTCTTTATTCACTTCAAAGTCAGACTAACATTGTCAGCCCAGGAGCCAATACAAATTCAAGGGATGTTGAACTTTAAGCGGTTCTAACAAGCCGATCAGGTGATGAATGTCTGGCTCATTTTGTTCCTCAGAACTCAGCTGGTCTCCTCCTTTTTGGACGGGCATGTCATTTTAAACATGTCATGCTATAGAGAAGACGGTGACTGTTTGCTCAGCTGTAGAGCTTCGCACTAGCATCTGGACGGAGGCTCTCGTTAGCCTTACACAAGCACAGAACAGCTTTGGCAAAGACCAGAAAAAAAGCGCTAGGCTGGCACCTCTCATTTTGCTTCAACACACAACCCAGCATACAGCTATACGGTAAGGTGTGAGGTAAGGCTGGGATTTTGCCATCTGCCTGCAGCCAACACTGAACATACTGTGGCAAGGAGAGACATTTTCCGGATGCATCTGCACGTAGGTGGGCAGTGTGTTTGAAGAGGCCAGGGTTTGGTATTTGCAGGTCATATTTCAACAAAACGGGGCAACGTGAGAGCCGACGGGGACGTAACAAGAGGAACGTGCACAGCCTAAGAAGAGCGTCTTGACAGGTTGGTTTAGGCACAGAGCAGAGAAATTCCTCAGCATTTCTGTCATCCCGTTGAGATTAAGAACAGCGCTGGGGTCAGCCAGAGACCAGCGAGGGCGTGTAGGGCAGATTTACTGGGCTACTTCCTCACCCCAGGGGTCACTTACACAACCAGCAGACAGCCTCGTAAATGTGTGAAAAATACATAATGCAGGGCAGTCATCTTGGAGTCATGATGAATTGTGTTCCTCTCTCAAGCTGGGTGGTATTGTGACTTGGGTGGTATTTGGAGAGTTGGCTCAAAGAATTTGCTTTTCTTTTTATTGTTGATCCACTGTACTCTCTGTAAACTCTTCAGCACTCACTTCAAACACATGTGTTCATTATTCTGTAAAGTAATCTGTTCTATTTTGTTCACTCCTAAAGTGACAACCCAAAAATAAAGTGAGTTTCTTATTTTATGGGAAATAACACTATAAGACCTTTTAAAAAATATATATAATAGTGAATTTGTTGTTTGATTGTCTACTTACAATTGTTGTTTTCATGACTACAGAAAGAAAACGGATTGATCTTAAACAGTGGATTGCACTTTTCTGTTTAAATGGAAACTCAGTCCAAAGAAATCTAAATTATTTTAGTTGTGAGTTCTTCTACAAGTATTTATTATATGATTTTAGAACAATCATGTGTAGGCTACACAGTAATCAAATTTTCTTAAAAAAAAAAAAAAACACAACTTGGAGTATCTACTAAGGTTGTTTTCTGTCCTGTTATAAAACACTTTGTAAGTTTGATTTCCAAGATGTTATATAATAGATCTAAAAGCAGTGTGTTTATCCTCTTGTCTGCTCTGCTGTTCCTGCTCCCTCCTGCCCTGCAATACCCTTTTCCCGCCTTTTCCATCACGTGACCTTCCCCGCTCACTTACTCACCTCCTTCCCATTTCACTAATCAGCCTTGCATTATATAAGCGGGCCTCATTCCCTCACAGGTCTTCAGTGTTGATTATCCAACTATTTCTTAGCTTATTCTCTTCCCTCTTATCTGTTTTAAATAAAAAAATACTGTGGTGTGATTAAATTCTTAATTCTGTCTATATAAATATTAAAATATGCTAAAGCACCCTGCCCACTACTGTTGTGTAGTGGGCAGGGTAAAGGCTAAAACATTCAGCAGGGCTCTCAAGTTTTGAACAGAGTTCAGAGTGAGATTTTGGCAGCGGTGTTTGGTACTTCAACTTCTGGCTCCCCTCAAAGTTCCCATGAAGCCCTCTGTACTGCGGCGAATGTCAATCGGGGGGGGGGTAGTGGAGTATGGAAGTGATGAAGCCTCTGTATCCCTCTGTACCGCGAATGTCAACGGGGGGGGGGTGCTAGTGGAGTGCACGCGTCTCAAACAAGCCAAGTATGAAGACAAAATTGCGGCGCGACTTGGTGGTACCCTGGAAAGAAATCTCTGCGTGAGAAATACAAGGTGTGGCGTGTGAGCGTGTGAATGGAGTGAAATGCGTGTGTCTCACGCCAAATGCGTGAGACTTGAGAGCTCTGATTCAGACATGTTGGACTCATACCTGCCAACCTTGAGACCTCAGAAATCGGGAGCATTTCAAAACCGGGGGGGGGGGCATGCGGCCTGTAGCACCATCCTTGATGGAGCATATGTGTGGGCTAGACCTGGATTTTACAGGAAAGGAGTGAGCAGAGGTTGGAGTTGTCGATTCTTGTTCAGTTTTTCTGTGACTATCTGCCTTCACCTTTCAGTTGCGCGCGCTACTAAAGAGACGCGCTACCGTGGAAACCAAACAATGGTGTACTTGTAATAAAGTCCGAGTGGAAACAGTCCTGAGTAAATCTGATTTTGTCAGAAATCGGGAGAAATGCGGGAGAAATTTAACCCCGGGAGGAAACCAGGAGAGGGCAGTGAAATCGAGAGTCTCCCGCGAAAATCGGGAGGGTTGGCAAGTATGGCTTGGACTCGGATGAGGAGTTTGCTGTGCAACAAAATCGACGACCAGCAGACGATTCAGAAGGGTAAGTTAGCATCTTTTATTTGCTTATGTTGGCTCTTAGATTGTTAGCTTTTAGCTTGGTGGCTTGTTAGCTTGCTAGCTTGTAACTGGTAGTGGCTGACACAACATTCCTGATTGTGAAATGTACAACGATTTTCAGTTTTTTTTTTGGTCGATAAAGAAGGAAAGTTCATTGCCCTGGTTTGAGATCCTTTCACAAATGTCAGCACGCTAAACAATACAAACTTTCTGTACTGACGTTTCAGATTTCTTTGCTGACTTTTGTATCTCAGAGGCCGATTGGCTTTCAAATTTGTGACATAGCTTATTTTAAATCTGATCTCTTTGTTTTTCCAGTGAATTCACTTTCCATCAATTAGAACTACACGTTATTCCTTTAAGTTGTTTTCTATCTTCCTGCCTGTTTCCAAACTGTTCTGAGGTTTGTTGGGTTTTAGCACTGATCAGTGTGTCAGTATCAGGTTGTAGCCTCTCAGAATGAAGTTGTTCAGCATGTTGTGGTTTTCCATCCAGAATCCAAACACACCAGGAAACAATACTCTTCTAGACAGCAATCTGACACTTGTGGTATTACCAGCATCCTACTTATGTATTATTTTTGGGTAGATAAGACAAACAAGCGAGTGCTGTTCTTGGTCTGAATCTCTGTCTGAAATTCCAGAGTCATTCCTGTATTTGCTAAGGCGGCACGGCCAAGGGCTCAAACGGTGTGCCTTCTGTCTGACAAGATTCATAGACTGGGTATGCAGAAAGGCTCAGACTTGGACAGCCGGCCGAGACATGGCCTTTCTCAAAGTCCAAGAGGCTTTAGGTGCAGCAGACATGACTGAGATCCAGGCCAGCAGACCTTAAAGTGATCGCTCTGAGGATTGAGGATTGATGATT